CAATTGACATTCGCCCCCCCCCTCCCCAGTTACAGCAATGGACATTCGGCCCGCCCCTCCCCAGTTACAGCAATGGATATTTGGCCCGGCCCTCCCTGCTTACAGCAATGGACATCCGGCCCACCCCTCCCCAGCCACAGCAATGGATATTTGGAGTTGGAAGTCATTACTAGTGCACACACAGGAGATGAGAAGCATAAGAAATTGCTCACAGATGGCTGAAAGGTCTAAAGAGCAGTACACAAATGAGTGAGAGGATCTGCACACAGGAGAGAGCATTAAGAGGCTGCAGAAGCTGACAAGGCGAGGTAAAAAATGAGTGGCCAGGTAGATGTGCTTAGTGAAAAGGGGGTGAAAAGTCTGAGATGTTGTGCACAGAGGAGATGGATGAGAGGATTATACAGACGAGACAGGTTAGATGGTCTGAGCTGCACCTAGAAGGCAGGGGTGAGGTGGTCTGAGCTGCACATAGAAGGCATGGGTGAGATGGTCTGAGCTGCACATAGAAGGCAGGGGTGAGGTGGTCTGAGCTGCACATAGAAGGCAGGGGTAAGGTGGTCTGAGCTGCACATAGAAGGCAGGGGTGAGATGGTCTGAGCTGCACATAAAAGACAGGGGTGAGGTGGTCCGAGCTGCTCATAGAAGACAGGGGTGAGGTAGTCTGAGCTGCACATAGAAGGCAGGGGTGAGGTGGTCTGAGCTGCACATAGAAGGCAGAGGTGAGATGGTCTGAGATGCACATAGAAGGCAGGGGTGAGGTGGTCTGAGCTGCACATAGAAGGCAGGGGTAAGGTGGTCTGAGCTGCACATAGAAGGCAGGGGTGAGATGGTCTGAGCTGCACATAGAAGACAGGGGTCAGGTGGTCTGAGCTGCACATAGAAGACAGGGGTAAGGTGGTCTGAGCTGCACATAGAAGGCAGGGGTAAGGTGGTCTGAGCTGCACATAGAAGGCAGGGGTGAGATGGTCTGAGCTGCACATAAAAGACAGGGGTGAGGTGGTCCGAGCTGCTCATAGAAGACAGGGGTGAGGTAGTCTGAGCTGCACATAGAAGGCAGGGGTGAGGTGGTCTGAGCTGCACATAGAAGGCAGAGGTGAGATGGTCTGAGATGCACATAGAAGGCAGGGGTGAGGTGGTCTGAGCTGCACATAGAAGGCAGGGGTAAGGTGGTCTGAGCTGCACATAGAAGGCAGGGGTGAGATGGTCTGAGCTGCACATAGAAGACAGGGGTGAGGTGGTCTGAGCTGCACATAGAAGACAGGGGTGAGGTGGTCTGAGCTGCACATAGAAGGCAGGGGTGAGATGGTCTGAGCTGCACATAGAAGACAGGGGTCAGGGGGTCTGAGCTGCACATAGAAGACAGGGGTAAGGTGGTCTGAGCTGCACATAGAAGGCAGGGGTGAGATGGTCTGAGCTGCACATAGAAGACAGGGGTCAGGTGGTCTGAGCTGCACATAGAAGACAGGGGTAAGGTGGTCTGAGCTGCACATAGAAGGCAGGGGTAAGGTGGTCTGAGCTGCACATAGAAGGCAGGGGTGAGATGGTCTGAGCTGCACATAGAAGACAGGGGTGAGGTGGTCTGAGCTGCACATAGAAGACAGGGGTGAGGTGGTTTGAGGAGCTGAACACAGAGAAGCAGTTTAGAGGCTGCAGAAGTTCTATTGTGCTGTGGACATTTTGAGTTTATTGTTAAAACTGAACATTTGTGTTCAAATTATTAGGTTTATTCAATAAGAAGATACATGCAGTAGTCTCAGTAAGCACTTTAAAATACAGGTGTTTTTTTGTTTTATTTTGGTCTCATTGAGCTCGTCATTTGAAAAGTAGTTCTTAACAGGAAAAATTGTGGGCACCCCTGATCTAAGCTGTATGCGACTTTTCAGAACCAATTGTGATATTGTGATGAATGCAGGAAAATGTTTGTTGTACTAAAGCAAAGTATTAAGAAGCACAGTGAGCATGTTGCATAAATGTGACCAGAGCCATTGAAAGTTCTTGTTATGCAACCTTCTTATCAGCTCATTAGCTCCTGGGCTCCTTTTCAAGTGATGTCATAAAATAGAAACTTTTTATTTTTTATTTTTAGCCCAAGTCCAATAAAAACTGATTGAATACCACATCATAGATATCCTGCTCTGACTGCAGAAATCATGGTTTCCACCCAACCCAAATATATATCTTAAAGTAAAATGCTACAATATGTGAAAAATGAATTACTTTTCCTACTTGAAGCAACAATTTGGTTGATGTGCTTGTATCAGGTTATCCAGGATTGCTTTTCTTCCTCAAGAAGGATTTATCAAAGCCTCCTTCCTGATTTCAGATCTACAATGCACTGGATAATATTCTTCACCTAGCCCGTGGGTTGGCCTTTGTGCTAGCAACCACCAAGTTCACTTGTCTGCTTTAACCACCCTCAGTTACAGGAAATCCTCCGTGGTCTCTATACTACATTTATAAAGCATAAAGATAAAGTCTAACAGCCCTTAAAATACATTTTTCTTATGTAAGTGTGTCTGACACTAGTTTTTACAGGACCATGTGAAATATACAAAGAGTCCTAATTCTTTAGATCAGTAACATATGGCAACCAATCAGTATTCATGTTGTCATGGTCTACCTACAGCAGAGCGAATTTTGATTAGTTTATCTTAGTAACACTTTGTAAACACTTTGGAATTTGTAATAAGGTTGATACCGCCCTTTGATCCTGGTGTTTTAGTAGATTTACTGAGACGCTCAAAAGGTTTACAGCCAGCCTAATTTGTGAAGCTGTGCTGTACTGAAATAAAAAGAACATTCACAATAACTTGTATTTCATTTTCGGACACTCAGAGGGGAATTTATCAAAACTGGAGAAGACAAAATCTGGAGCAGTTGTCCATGGCAAGCAGTCAGCTTCTATATTTCATTTTCAAAGCCTAACTGAACAAAATGAAGTGAGAGGTTGATTGGTTGCCATGCAGAGCTGCTCCAGATTTTGTCTGCTCCAGCTTTGATAAATCCCCCCTCAGTGCTTTATACCCGTGTAAAATTGTAATACTATGGTAACAATGTGCTTTTCAGTTTTATTGATTTGCATCGTCCTTTTCTATTATAGATGCCACGGATTTTCCACCCCCTCCTCCACTTTCTACTGGACCGGCAGTCCGTCCTCCATGGACCACTGATGCCTCCTTTGCTGAGCGCTATGCCCCAGACAAAACTACCACTGTAATGACTAAGCACAGTCAGCCAGCGACTCCAACTCCAGTGCAGAATCGCAGTTCAATCATGCAGGCTGCACAGCCTGCTCCTTCTGGGGAGAAGACTCCTATTTGCTCCCAGTGTAACAAGGTCATTAGGCGAGTATCTTCTCCAGAACATCATAGAATGTGATAATTGCTGTGCTAAGCAGTATATAGCCACAAATGACTCAACTTTCCACATAGGTATAACTATTGCGTTACTGTATATTGTCTGTACAGAGGAAGGTATCTACTAGCACTGGGCCGTTACTATCATCCTGAGGAGTTTACCTGTTCACAGTGCCACAAAGTGGTTGAGGAAGGAGGATTCTTTGAAGAAAAGGGATCCATATTCTGTCCAAGATGCTATGATGTCCGGTTTGCTCCTAATTGTGCCAAGTGCAAAAAGAAGATTACAGGGGTGAGAAAAAGATTTACTTTAATCAACGTCATTATGTAAGGAATTATTAATCATTTTGTAGAGAAGTTTAATATGTATTGTGAAAATCCCAGCTGTGTCAGACACTATTTTTTATTCAAATTATTTTTCCTGTCCTCTGTGTAGTGTGCATCAATATGTACCTCATCTATTCAGAGCAGCATGGTAATTATTAGTTTCATAGAATACCAGGTTCAATCTGCTTATTTCATGGTCTTGGTCAAAATAGGGAAACACACAAATATTTAAACATTTTATTTTTTCTTTGTTTACTTTTTTATCAGTTTATTTTTTTAGTTTTTTCTACTTAACATTTTTATTTATCCTTTTATCTTTTAAATTTCATTGCTATCACACAGTGGCTAACAAGGCCCTGTGTGATAGCATTTGGAGGTGACAGGTTCTCCTTATTGGACCTTTCACCTCCAATACAGGAGCTCTAGCACACTACTGTGCTGGGTCTCCTGTGACAGCTGAGATGGGAAGGCTGCAAGTGCAGTGCTCCGCTCCCCGCTCTCCATCCTGAACTACTTTGCTTTGGTCCTGGATCCCCCAGAAGAGCAGAGGACCTTGAAAACCACGGCAGGGAGGGAGGTGGCCAGCAGGGAGAGAAGCAGCTGATATCATCTCGTGGAGTTATCTCGTGACCCAATGAAGTACTGATGGGGTGGTCATGATAATCTGGCCACTCAGTGTATGCCTCTCAGCTATGCTATATTAACTTTATAGCATAATGAGAATGGTAACACTTTATAGAGATAGGTCTGAAGGCTCAGTTGCTACTAGCGCGGGTCCTATTTGCTCTTTTGACTGCTAGTTATTATCACCCCATCAGTAACACCCACCCTGAGCTCTATCCCACCTTTCAGCTTATCTAACTACCTCACCCTACCATTACAGTAGAGCTAGTATGCTCAGTGCACCTTTTAGGTTGCATGACAACTCCACATACAGATTTCAGGTAATTTACAATATACTGTATATACAGTATATGCACACAAATAATACAGCAAGTTATTTAATGTAGTCGTTTCTACAGCTGTCATGGGTTGCCAGTATATACTATTGACATCTACTCAATTCCTGTAGTTTACTAGCACATTTTTGTCAACATGCATTGCTATATTCTGTACTGTATTGTATAATGATACTGCAGAACATATAACTGTGTGTGATCTTTTCAAGGTTCCACTCTTAGCTAACCAACATGTTATTTTGTTGTATATTTGATTGGATTGACAAGAGACAGTTGTACCAGAATATACTGTATAAGGGGCGGCAGAGGGGGTGGACCAGCAGGCTTATTATATACACTTATACAAAATATATACACTTATACTAAACAAGCAGCAGCTTCCCTGCTGTACATTTAGCCCTGCTTGAACATAGCAGGGCTAAATGTCGGACAATACAAACTCCAGATCCCTGCCTAGGCTCGCATTGCACTAGAGGGTCCTCTGCATGCCTTCTGTGGCATGCATGCCATAGGTTCACCATTGCTGGTAAATTGTATGGCCAGCTTTATTTTAAGTGTCAAAACCCCCTGCATCATAAACTACTAGTACTTAAGTTCCAGGTATCAAAAACCAAACATGAACTCTGTGTACAGATAGATAGATAGATAGATAGATAGATAGATAGATAGATAGATAGATAGATAGATAGATAGATAGACTACCATTATAATACAGTATAGTGTATATAGTGGGTAAACACTTGGGGGTCTATTTATAAAAAAAAAACATTTGCTGTGTGTATGCATTAGCATTTATGCCCAAGTTGTCAATAATACTCTTGCATATGTTTTATGTGTGAAATGTTATGTTTTGATATAAGTTGTCTTTCACAGGGCAAATTTAACATTCATTTGGTGGATCCTGTTTGTTTCAATGTTGTCAAATCAAATCTAATTAGAACGTGTGAAATAATTTATATGTCATTGTATGGATTTCTCTGTCAAATAAAAGCAGCAATGGATGCAACTTATTCTAAGAGCATTCAATCCTAAGAGAAAATAGCCTCAGGACATTCAGTCCCTAAGATACAATTCCCAAAACATTTGATCACAAGAGAAAATACCTTAAAAAACATTTGATTTTGCCCCATTCACATAACAGCCACAGCTTTATACATTGTGCAAAAAAAATCCCCAAAACGAATTATGTTAATGATGCTGGTTGATTCACACTAGACCTCCTGCTATTTGATAATGTATATGATGGATAGATAGTACACAAAGGACTCAATTCCCAAAGCTTTTACACAAGGATAAGGACCTGTATTTTAGTCATGTGACTGTAATTTTTACATTTTGTTGGACTCAACTAAAAATGAGTGTCACCCTTATGAAAACAATGATCCTTAAACTTGAGGATTAAGCTTTGTGAAATGAGCCTTTATTCTTGACATATACACTGAGTGGCCAGATTATTATGACCACCTGACGTTTGTAGGCAAATTAGCTATAAGTAGCTATAATTTTGCGCTGAAGAATATTTTTCAGGAGATCATGCATGCTTTAAAAATGACTTGGCATGTTCAGTGTTTCACTTGTGCCTTCTGTAAGGCCCCCATTCGCAACAGAGCTTTTTACATGGAGGAAGGGCAGCCCTACTGTGAAAAAGGTGAGCTGTATGAGTCTGTCACAGTGATGCATGGGGAGAGAATTGTTACTATCTGTACTTGGGTCTATCTTGAAAGTGTTTCAGCAGGACTAACAGGTGTGTTGTCATACAGATTATGAGAAGATGTTTGGCACTAAGTGTCGGGGCTGTGACTTTAAGATTGATGCCGGTGATCGTTTCTTGGAAGCTTTAGGATTCAGCTGGCATGACACCTGTTTTGTGTGTGCGGTAAGCACCGCTTTATTTCTCTTCTGCAATAACTTTTGTATGCTAACTTTAGTGTTTCAGTAAAATCTTTTCTAAATGCAGATTTGTTACATTTTTAAATACAATTTTACCATTTTTGTTGCCGATCTTATTTTAGACCGTGCTTCTCTATGCAATGCAGGTTGATGGAGAGGCAAGCAGAGTTTTATACATAACCTCCTGAAAACATCACGGCCTTAGTACTCCTCTCAAGAGCCTTCAGCCCTGATGCAGGTGATGGTCCAGCTCTTGGGAGGAGTTATGCAAATATCAAAATGCTCTGATGGGTGGATGTCAGCTTGGAGGCGTGTGTATTCCTAGACAGGCTGCATTTTCATGCAGACCACCCTAGGTTATGCCCACATGTGATGCTAAGCCCCCTATGATTGAAAGAAATGAAATCCAATGAATGAAAGGGGCGGACTAGAGATAGTAAGGCTATGGAGGATAAGGCCAGATGAGATGCTGGGCCTATGTGTACATCATGGATGTCATTATTCCCAGAGCAGCGTTTGCATAAATATTCTACAATTCTGCTTCTAATAGCATTGGTGTTTTAGAAAAGTTTCCCTTAAGTCCTGAAGGTTTTTGGGGTGACAGAACAGGAATCCAGGCCACAGATCAGAAATAAACCTGAGGTGTGCCGTAAAGTGTTTAAAATAGTATTCAATATCCATTTCCCCCAGCTATTCTTTGAAGGGAATAAAGGGCTCCTTGGCTGATTGATACATTTTCCTTGCCAAAACCATGATAAAGGGCTCAGTGGGAGCCCCCATAACCCAGGGTGCCTACAGTATATAATTGCCAACTTTTAGAAATCACACAAACTGCATTCCACAATGCAGTGCAGCTCTTTGCAAATCAGCTCGGAGGTGCACAACATTGTGTCATGGTATGTGATTTGGGCATTCGTCAACATGGACCTCTTCCACTGTGAACATCCATCAGCTTTGGTTTAGTAAGCAAAAGCTATCAGTGGACAACTAAGTTCTAGTCTTGCCTCACTAGGTAGGTTTATGGAATGACCGTGACAGATTTTCATCCACTACTCTCTGGTTATCATGGACAAAACTGACTCTTGTTTCTTTTCTTTTTAGATCTGTCAGATGAACCTTGAAGGCAAGACATTTTACTCGAAGAAGGACAAGCCTCTGTGCAAGACTCATGCCTTTTCTAATGTCTGAGTAGTTGGTTTAACTGCACGCTGGTATACATACACTATCACAGACACGCACACATCATACACAATATAGCTACCTGCATGATGTAAAGGATTCATAGGAACCTTGATGGGTTGCAGACCCATAGACACAATAAGTTATGTTAGGAACCTGCAGTAAATGAAGAACAGGCTGTATTACAGTCACATTTCAGCTTTAAACTGAAGATTTAGACTATTATAACAATAGGTGCTAATCCTTAATAATAAGTGATAGATGTCTCTGCAGTTTCTTTTGATCACTTACATTTGGGAACTGGTAGAGGAAACAAATGTCAGAATAAACATAAAACAAACCTCCATAGACCTGAAAAATGTCCACGCTAGACAATTATGTTAAACTCATGTAAAAAAAATTAAAACACAAAACCGACAATTCAAAGCCACATAGACATCAACACTTGCAGGCTGCAAAACTTTTCAATTCAGTATTCCAAGTAAGAGACCTCAGTGTGTACACTTCTAAAGATAATAGAAATTTACACTCCATAAAGTACCTTGGGCGAGGAATGAGTGCACATGGTTGAGAGCCAGCAAGTTTACACAGAGAAAATGGAAAACTAGAACTAGTTTACAATTTAAGGGGCAGAAAATTGATACTGAATGGGGGGTATTAAAGATGGGAAGTTTACATAGGGCAGAGTTTACAGATTTTGCACACACATTGGCTTATTTACGAGCCATGGCAAATGCAATGGCTGTGTATCAAGTGCAGCACCCATAGGAACCAGACTTCAGTTTACCTTAATCAGATCAGTGTGAAGCTATTTCGTATTATTATGGCATGCTGCACTTTGCACAGTTCTAGTACTTTGCCAGGCCTTATTAAATAAACTTGACTGTTCTATTTTGATTTGAACTTTTGTATATAGATATATAATGCAGCTACATTATACATAGCGGACTCCTGTTACATTTTTCCACAATTGCCAGGCACCTATATTACTTTACCATAGTGAATATTTATATTAAATGTACAAAATGTCAGCGCCCATGTGGAGTATAAAGTAATTGATTCAATCTTTCTCTTGATATGGTTTAGTATGGTATAGATATTGTTTTTATAGTGTGGAATACTTAGTGTGTGGGCTGTTTTGTATGTACTGGACCATTACTTAGCTTACAGTCGTTGTGAAATCCTGCAGGGATGTCAGTGGACTTGCAGTGGAGGCCACAATAAGGTACAACTCCCACATGTGGAATGGAAGTAACTAAAGATCAGGGATACAACAATGTATCATCCATACCTAAGGCTATGGGTAATACATTGTCTTGTCCCTGATCTTAACTAGAATTAGTCCTGGCTCCCAGGTGTTCATATTAAAGTTGACAACACAACAGGGAACAGATAGGAAATAAATTCCAGTTTGTGATGCTGAAATATTTGATAAAACTATTACGCTGGAGTCCTCAAGATGTAATGTAAATGATAGGTGTGGATTCAGTTTAGTATTTAACTTCATCAGATGTTTTGTTTTTCTTTTAATTAAGAGATGTGAACAAACCGCTTAAAAAAGAGAGTTGGTGCACACCTATCTAGCATAGCACTGTGCTTTAGTTTGGCCAGTGGAAGGGCTGGTGTAGATGGGCCATTAAAATGTTCCTAAACACCCTTTTCTGAGCTCCATCAAGCTTCTTTTGGCTTGTATAGGAAGCAAGCAGCTCTGACACAAAAGGTGGCCATACACTCTACAACCATCGCAAGACTTTAGTCTTGCGATGGTTGTAAAGGGATTAAAAAAACGTACGATCTGCCTATCTTGGACAGGCAGATCGCACTCTCGATCATCGCAAGCCCGCCCCCCTGAGGGGCGGGCTTCCGATGACCGCAATGCTGAACGGGCAGTGTGCGCGTGCGCACACCGGCCCGCTCGGCATTTGTCTTCCGAGCACCGTTCTACATGCTGGTTCGTCCCTGACACATGTCACCTTAACAATAAGCAAGGGGATATCTCCCTCATGTGGAAACAGACCACAATAAATTTCCTGTACTGTCTGATGGCTGTCAAAAAGCCAAGAAGTGATCAGAAATCTCCCAAATGGGGACATCAATACAATGTAAGGTTGACAAGGGTTCCATCCTTATCACATTCTATCTAAAACTAAAAAAAAGGTTTTGGCTTCAAGGTTTATTTTTGTTCGATTTTTGACTAAATAAAAACTCCACCAACTCCACAAAATGCTTTTTTCTTTCTCGTTCACTGAAGGACACAGGATTCAGAGAAAATTAGGTAATACTGGCACAGCCTCTAGTGATATCCAGGCTCTGAAGACTCATTGAGTAGGCTGTGTTGGCCGAGCACCAAGAGCTATATTGTTTATCAAAACTGTTGGGCGCCATTTATTTCCCTATTTTTCTGTTCGCTATCCACAGAAAGGGCTGTAACACTGAGGGACTGAGTGCTGCATCACTGAGGAGAGTTTTGTGCTTCAATACTCCATGCGCTCATTCCCTCTATTCAGTGTGAGGTAGCACCTTCCTACCACATTTCCTTAAAAGAAGAGACGCACAGTTTCACCTGTTAGTCCACGCTGCTACCTACGGTAACCTGGTCACCTGCAGCCATTTGAACTTCTCCTGCTTCCACCGTCCGTGAATACCCAAAGTTTTACCTTGTATAATGTATGTGCTAAGTTGTTCTTGCTTGATAGTGCAACATGTCAGATCCCAGACACACGTGTAGTAGTCCCACTGTATTGGGTCCCTGCTCATGAACCAGTAACAGTTCTGGGGTGGCCTGCAGTGTTCACTGTCAAGAACCTGACACCAACAGCCTGTAATGTTCTCCCCTGCTTAAGTCTCTACATGCCTTCCTTAGATCAATCGAGTGTGGCTTCCTCCTCTGTTTTAACCCAACAAGACCCACAGTTATGTCGGATTTCATAGGCCAGATTGCAATTTTGATTGCCGAGTCTGACCATTAAGCCCAATAAGGGTATGTCAACCTCTTCCCCTGCAGAATCATTATCTTCGGCTTCAGAGGCTCTTATCTGTTGAAGAGTCTCAAAAATATTTTCCCAGATGATATTGTCCTGAGGAGTCACAGGCAGCCGCCATAACTCCCTGCTTAGAGAGACACTCTTATTGATATGGTACATGCCAACTTAAAGATGGAGGAGCAGGCTGTAGCTTCCACTTGTACTGCTACTAGTCTAGCATCAACTGTGTAGATGGGTTAGGGGATGTCTCCCCGGTCTTATCTTCTGTTTGAGTCGCCTATTAGTGAATATGCAGAGAACTCTTTTGATGAATTTTTGGGCTGAGGAGCAGGCATGTAAAAAGCATGTGCTGCAGATGCCCTTCAAGGGCAACATTTCTTAGAGTTACCTTGGATATTTCCATCAAAGATGTCATGGGAGTACTCATCTACCCCAGCCATCAGAAGAAGCCTAAGCCTCAAGCTGGGGAGACTCATTGTCCCCTCTGAGTCCAAGAAGCGTTCCTTTTGTTACTCCCAGGTTTCAACCTCTAAGGCCAGACCTAAGCCAGGAGTCCACTTTCACCACATATCCTAGGCCCCTATATCCCTCAAACCTGCAGAAATGTCCAGTAGGGTGACATCTGTTAACCTTTGCAGATTCCTGGATAGACAGTATCACAGGTACCTCCATATCCCATGGTACCTGCAAAGGGGAACCAGCTTTTTGTTCCACCATTTTTTAGTGGCTCAAACAGATCCCCATTCAAATGTATGGCTTAAAGTTCGGATGCCACCATTTCCTGTGAAAGCACACTCTATTCAGTCTGTTAGTGCTTTTTGGCATCAGGCAACTGTTTCCCAAAATTTTCAAGGCTGGAACTTGGTCTTCTGTTTACATGTTCTCTACGTGAAAGTTACCAGGTGAATGTTCAGGCCTCATCCGATTCTAGCTTTTGGCGTAAGGTCCTTCAGGCAACTCTTTGAGTTGCAGCAGTTCACAGCTTTTCTATTGTTATAGTGGGCCTGTTAGCATTTTGTTTGCTGTGTTGCTGACCCCTCAGTTGGACTGCTTTTGGGTGTCCCAGTTACCTCTGAATCCTGTGTCTTTCAATGGATGAGAAAAAAATTGGATTTTTGTACTCACTGTAAGATCCTTTTCTTGACGTTCATTGAAAGACACAGGCCCCACCCCTCTGTGTTTATGATCTTTGCTCTTGGTACTGCTTTGTTACAAAGCTGAAGAATAATGGGAGTGCCAGGGGTTATACCAGGCTGGTCAACGTGTCTAAATCCTCTTGTAGACGGCAGTATAACTCAATTGTCTTTAAATCCTGTGTCCTTCATTGAACTCCAAGAAAGGGACTTTACGGTGCGTACAAAAATATTGCCCTGTTTTTCAGTTATACCTATTTGCACATGTACAGCCATATGTTAAGTGCAGTAACCCATATCACCCAATCAGATTTCAGATAACTGTGGTCATATCAGTGAAGCATGATTGCTGATTGGTTGACTTAGCTTATTGCACTTTTTACATAGCTCTTAGCTTTATTAATATAGCCAAACCAACTATATCTGCCTGTACTAGACTGATGATATTCATGCCACTTTAGTGATAATGCCAAACTGATATGACTGATGTGCTGTGAAGTACGTAGTTTTATCTCACTGTTTTCACTTTTCTGTCATGTTATGCACATTATTAAACGCTTCCTCATTGATGTTCAACAGATATGTGTTTTTGTAGCTTTATTGTGCTACCCCTATGGTCATTTTGCATCACGCTGATCTATAAAAAGAGATGTTGGCCTTCTGCTAAGAATCTGAAACAGAATGAATATTGGTGAAATAACTGCAGTCATAGAAGTTTATCATACAGAGCTGCATAGATGACATTTCCATCACTTACACTATAGTATATTTTGCCTGTTTTATGAGATGTCTACTCTTAAAATCAGACATCCTAAATGGTTATTTCTCTTAAAACATTTTGAAGTCCTTTTGCAGTATTTACTTTAAATGAATGTGCCTTTCACATTTTAAATGCTTTTCCATACTTTGGTTGTTGTGGTAAACTTATAGAATTAAAGAAGTATTTGGAGAACAAAATATACTCTTCCCAGTACTTTGAACCGGCGTGGGACACTGCAGCTGTCACAGGCCAGCTGTATAGTTTGACAACTGAGCAATCACAAACCTGAGCAGTAGCCCGCTATATGGTGAGTGTGGGTCACAGGAGTACATTAGTAAATGTACTCCTGTGACCCAAAACAGAACTAAAGCCGAAAAAAGGTTTGGCTTCAGTTCTCCTTTAAAGATTAGCTTCTAG